AGTTAAACTTACGAGTCTCTTGCGTGGTAAGTACGTCTTCGTGGTAAAATACCCCGTAATTTCTGCATGCTTTTCCTGCGCTACACGCACGCCTAGCGCACTTACTCAGTACTTTTGTCTTGCGTGCTACGAGCGTGCTCCAGGCGTTCTAATTGTCGCAGACAGGTCGTAGCGAAAAACTGGCCGGCCAGTTTTCGGGCTGCGTGCTTTGCGTCGTGTTTGCGTCCACCAAAAATAGTACGCTCCACGTGCGTGTATCTTACTACTTGGCCAATTTTTTGCACGCAAACCGCTCGTAGAAGCACGCACAACCGGTTGTAAGAGTAGCTTAAAAACCGTGCGTCCAAAACGTAGTTGGGACCTAGGCTTTAGCAAGAGAGACGCATGTTGTGCAAGACGCACGTCGCAAGCAATGAAGGAGCAAGTGCCCTTTACGTGTTGAGTTAAGCCTAGGTCCCAACTACGTTTTGGACGCACGGTTTTTAGGTTCCTTGCGTCCGGCTAGGACGTAGCTAAATCGCAGGGAAGGAATCGGGAAGGAGTTCGTGTGTGAGGAGCACGTCCATCGTGCGACTTTTGGAGAACGCAAACAGCACGTAGAAACTTTTCGACGTGATCAACAGCCGCTACGTGCGATCTAGCTACGTCCTAGCCGGACGCAAGGAACCCGTGCGTCCAAAACGTAGTTGGAACCTAGGCTTAGCTTTTCGACATGATCAACAGCCGCTACGTGCAATCTTAAGGCGCACGCCCTCACAACTAACGAACAAAGTCGAGAGCACACTGGGAATGCGTCGCACGTGCGTCACCCCCACGCCTGGTGTACGTCGTGTCTTTATAATGAACGTCGACTGTGTAACGTGTACAACAATTTTTCAAAATTTTCAAATTTTTGCTCAATTTAGTTTCTAATATGCCTCCAAATGGCAAGAGAAAGAAGCTTACATAGTAGAAAAAAGGGAGGAGGAAGAAGAAAGAAGAGGAGAACAGGAAGCAAAACTGACGCACGCCGTAAGTACGTCACCAGAAACGTGTGAGGCAAGAAGTTATAATGAGATATAACTTCTTGTGTGAGGCAAGTGTGAACAAAACTGACGCAAAAGGCACTACTTTCGCCGTGCGTTGCATTGCCACGTACACAGGAAGCAAGACAAACTCAAGAAATGAGTACAATTTCCACGGCCATCGCTCCTTGCAATTAGCGTCCCTGCATGAAAGGACATCTCATGTGGCCCTTGCTACTCGCAAGGCAAACTTTCCTCTACCTCTGCGACCTCCACGGCCCCCGCAACACCCAAAAATCGCAGAGGACGTAAGATCCTGAAATTCGTGCGTCCGGTTGTGACCGAGGCTTCACGTAAGCACATTACTGCCCCTAAAGTATTGCTTTACACAGAGACCTCTGTTCCAATTGAAGAGACTTTTTAAGACAATGTACATGTATAGGGGCCTACTGATTGAATGGATGAAAAACTATTTATATGAAGAGTGATAGAATTACATGTACTTGCGTCATGTACCATTGATAACAAGCACCCATGTGTCTTTTGGAATCTACTAGTCTCCTTTCCTTAAAATTATGATCCAATAAATTGGGTCCCAGCTTAAGGGTACTGACAGGGTATGTGATCATCAAAATGTCGAAAACCAGGTTTTTCGTGCATATAATTTTTCAATGATGCATATATCTTTGTGTTGACAAAAAAAAAAAAACAATAAAAATCTCCTTGAAAATATAAAATATCGGCGTTGATATTTCATGTTGCTAAACTTAAACATAAGCACCTCTGAGCGTTTACGCCAGTTTAATTGCTTTCAGTTTTTAGGTGAGATAGCAAACGGTAAATATATGGGGCGTAACTGTATCCCTGAACAAGATCTTATCACGAAAGACGAGCACAAGTGTATGGGCGTCAATCCCGAGCCGTCACTTTGGCTTTAATTTAATGTTTTTGTCATGGACTTAAGAGCTCCTAATTACAATGCATTAACAAAGACATAATTGTGCCTCATTCACGGTAAATTCTGAGGTTTTGAAGAAAAATCACTTGCGGGGTTCTGAAGTATTCAATGATGTCATTAAATTGGCGCTGAAACAGTGTTCTTGAGTGCTCTGGTATAGGAGAAATTTGAGAAACCGATTTTACCTTTTTTACACCAAAATCGCAATTGTGACATCATCGGAAAGATGACACTCTCATAGAAACAAAAGAATGTAGCTAGTGAACACTGAAGAATTATCTTCTATAGAGGTAATTATATACTTAAAAATATATACGTGAAGACAGCAATTTAAGTGTTTTTGTCTAACCCTGACAGTAACCTAAGATGAACAGTTTATCTGTTATCAAGTCAGGTAGCTCTCGTATTTAGGAGTCTGAACAATTAATTATTTGAATTAGATTGCAGATATGCTGCTCTTTTAACTAGTGTTACTGGTGCGTATACCACGTAAATGCCCATATTGCACCCTTATGCAAAAAAAAAAAAAAAACGTTTTGTAGAAATTGTCATTCTGTGCAGAAGTCGTTGCTGAAAATATTAACTATTAACCAAAACTAAGTTAAATATTGTAAGGTATGCATTCCGTTTTTTGTCCACTGGATACAGTTATGATCAGTTAATGAAACAATCCTAACATAAGCTAATAGATAATAGATTACAACGTACGTGAACGTGTATTTCACTTGAAATACCTTCTTTTCATTAAAGAAAAATAAGTAAAATGAGTTCAGGTAGGCCTGTGCATTCCGTTTTTGTCCGGTGAATGCGGTTATGATCCTTACATAATCGAAAGATCAGTAGTAGGTAACAACAAGTAGGCCTACGGGAACGTGCATTAGGGCCTAAACTTGAAATACCTTCTTTCCATTAACGAAAAATACTAGCTCATCAGCGCCCATGCTCCCCGTTGACAGTAACTTCGCCGCTGTTGTATGTTCGGTTGGATGTTTGTTCAAGAAGTTGGACTTGATCAGTAACTAGGTTATGGAAAGTCTACGTGCGGGTTGACACACTGCAGACAATGTTGCGCAATCGAAATACCTTTCGCTGACACTTGAGGTTTTTATATTACTGTAACGTGACCGAGTCACACCCCGATCCTTTCTGTAATTTGATGAAGTTTATTTCTAGTTAGCGTTGTTTTACCTGAAATACTATTACCGCACTTCGGTGAGCCGAACATGGGAGCCGCCATTGTGTTACATCATACAGCCTTGACATAGCGGAAGAGCGGAAACGTTAGTTACACTGATCATCCGGGCTGCAACTCCAGAAATGTGTTAGCGTAACTGGGAAAACTCTTTAGTTTTGTTATTTTTGAGTTTCTTTGGTTTTGTTTGCGTTTTTAGATCATTTGACCAGCAGCCGGGCATTGAGAAATTCTTACCGATCAGTTACGGTCCAAAGCATGAGGAGGTGTAGGTGGAAAATACCTGACAGTCGGATACTGCAGGTGGAAATCCTGAGAGTTGGCCACTCCAGGTGGGAAAATGCCTATTCTCCAAGACTGTGCGTGCTTAATGAAGCCATATGTGCCGTGGATAAGAAGACTGGACACCTTCGTAACTTTTTGTTGAGTTTTTTTAGTTATCTTACTTATGGTTTATAATCGCTTTAATTGTTCAGCGTCCGGGCATGCAGGGGATGCCTGAGATTACTACAGGGGATACATAGCCCATTCTCCAGGATTTTTCGTGTGTAATGAAGCAGCTGCAGGTGGGGATGCCTGAGATTAGGCCCTACTACAGGAGATATATAGCCTATTCTCCAGGACTGTTCATGTGTAACGAAGCATTGTGCCGCGACAGAAGACTGGACCCATTCAATAGTGTTTACGTTATTATTATTATTTTTATTTGAGATTTAGTTCGACGTTATTATTCTGTTCTGGACTCCAAGAGAAACTGTGAATTTGTGCGAACGTAACATGTAATTTTGAATTGAGTAACATGAATGACTTTAAATGCGTACGAGTTACTCAAATGTCTTTAACTTTGCTCATGTGCTATTGGAATTTTATAATCGATTTCTACGTTTATTAAAACTGTTTGTTTTTACTTGAAATCCACTCTTGTTGTTTGTGTTTGGGATATACTTTCTCTGGGGAAAGTCAACATCTCTCCCGACCCGCGATTAAATTTACGTGCCCACGGGACTCCAGAAATAGAGAGACATTTTTGCACCTTTTGATAATTAGTAGGGGCCTACAAGAAAAATTTTGTGGCGTAGGGAGTCACTGGGATACTCGACACTGGGAAAGTAAAGATAATTATGCGATAAGGCTAATAAATTATAATTAAGTAATGAAAATTATTTGAAACGAAAGATGTAATTATTAAAGGTGGTGGAAAAGAAAAGAAAGAAAGTAAGTGGAAAGAGAGAAAGCAAGAACACGAGACAACGTATGTAAGAATAAAAATAAGCGTAAGATGCGGAGTGCTTACCTGGTGATTCTTTTGCAAAATTGGAAGTAAAATTCTCCGACGAATTTTGAGGTCTGATCTTACCAGCAGCAAGAGTGAGACTGGCCCTTGGTCACGTGTTATCGAAACTTGCTACTGATTGGTTCTGCGTCTTTATTGTAGGACAGAGGTCATGTACTGATAATGCTGCGTATACGGAATACCCCGATGACTCCCGAAAGTAAATCTTTGCGATAACCTTGTATTAATAATACTACAGAAATAGAGAGAGACATTTTTGCTCTCTTTAATAATTACATGGAAACTTTTTGTGGCGAAGGGTGTTACCGGGATATTAGAATTCGGCACGGGGAAAGTAAAGATAATTATGCGATAAGGCTAATAGATTATAATCACAAAATGAAAATTTACTGAAAAATAGATGTAATTATTAAAGTTAGGGGTGCAAATGCGCCACGAAAACCCAGGTTTCCGCTGTAAATCTGGGTTTTATTCCAGTCCTTATATACCCGCATTATATGTCCTTATATATGTGACAAAACAGCATAACTTCTAAAATAATGGCCCGATTATGCTGATTTTTGAACTCAACCTGCGTTTTAGTAAGATTGACCACTCCTGTGAGTTTAATGACAATTGACTTATCTGTTTTTCTTATATTGTGTTTACAGTGTTGCATATCAGCTGAAAAGTGAAAAACAAGCATAACTGCTAAAATAGTGGCCCGATCATGCTGATTTTCGAACTTGACCTGCGTTTTAGTAAGATCGATTTTTCCTGTGAGTTTCATGACAACAGGCCTATCAGTTTTCCTTGAAATGTGTTTACAGTGTTGCATATATGCTGAAAAGTGAAAAAACAGCATAACTTCTACAATAATGGCCCGATCATGCTGATTTTCGAACTTGACCTGCGTTTTATGAATATTCATCAGCTCTGTAATCATAAAGCCAAAAAGTAAAACTGCCTTCCACTTATCGTGTTTACAAGGAAAGTGCACGGCGCCGGCGACGGCGACGGCGACGACAGACGCAGGTGATGGCAATATGTACATGACACATTTGTGTCTGTACATAAAAAGGGAGGAAGGTTGCATTGATACCGCAACACACATACGTTTCTGAACATCAGATGTTACAAAACGTATCACTGATTTTCTAGCAGCAAAGGATAGCATGATCCAGCTTGCCAATATTGATAAAAGTGGCATCAATGATTTTTTAATATAATTCAGTTCTAGAAGCTGGGCAGGGTCCCATCATTGCTGCATGGTATGCCGCCTGTAACGAGGTTCTGGGGGGGGGGGGGGTGTTCACAGTCTATTCCTCACTCAGCTTGTTGGTCGGGGCATTGGATTAAGCACCGGAGGGATTTTATCAGGTGTGTGGACAGAGCTATACTAGCAAAAAAGATAAGGTCTTTAAAAAGCTGTATATCGTTGACAGATCATTAAAAAATTACACAAACAAACTCGAATTTTAAAATACGTCAAGCATATTTATTTCTCTTTTTATCTCTAGACTTTATGGAAAGATATGTTATCCAGAACATGTATACTGATTCTCAAAAGTTAAGCGACACCTTAGATTTTTCAAAATTATTTATTTCTAAATTTTTAACACCATGTAAATGCACTACCAAGGTAAAATTGTTCAACTTAATGTAACAAACATATTTTTGTTGAATTGTGTTAATACATATAAGTATGTACGCGAGTGATATACGTGTAATGGTAAACACTACAACAATAATATAAATATAAGATAACAATAAAATATTTATTAGAGGTGAAAAGCAGATACTGTACACATCTGTCTTAAGATAAAATGGTAAAAACATGGTGATATGAGTTCTTCAAATTAGAAAACCTACAAAGAAGCCCCATAATAATATAACTTCCAAATTCGGTCAGGTATTTGGGTATGGTCACTGTGTCTTTTAGCTGTGAATGTCAATATAGTGCCCCTGCATTCTTAGACAAAATTACAATTACTTCACTATAATGTTTAATAGAATTATTATCGCAACAGTACCGAATAAACATATACCTCAGTGCTCTGGACTGCATTATCATACATGTACTCTGGCCGATTATATTTAAAGGTACATCCATGGTACATCCATACATTATATTCTGATTACAGTTGTCCAATAAGAAAACCCTTAACCATCAATTTGCTATTGCGAGTTGCCATACAGTTATCATCGGGAGTTAAAGAGTCCACAAATATATTCCTGCTAACCCGCAGATAAGTTTCAGTTGAAGTCTGCCAGAGAACAAATCCTGGCTATAACATCCAGTCACGTGTCCTACTTGTTTACACATCTATAAACCTTGGCCTCAAGGTATGATGGCTGTTTAGTGAGCACTATAACAAAGCGAAGAGGGGATGGTTTAAGTCAGTATCTACCAGAGCCAGTTGGTTGAAATGAAATATTCTGGTTCTGAATCGCATAAAGGAAATCGAAAACAGTGTCGTGTATAAAACATGTGAAATTTTCCATTTTGTAGGCAACTTTTTATTTTTTTCTGCTACTTAGAGCAAGACACTTTCAAAACTAACTGCCTTGGAACGTTTCAGATAACCTTAGAGACAGCAGGTAATACTATGTAGCAGCCTTATTTTACACAGTTAAAGTTTGGCCGGATGAAGTCTAGGAGAGGGAGACCCCGCAAACTAGAATAAGGCTAGTAATAGATTTAAAAAAAATAGAGACTTAAGTATTACTCATGTCTTGACCTCCACATATAAATCAGTTACCAAAATAAAATGTAGCATGTATCAACGCGAGTACATTGCCTAAGAACAACGGTTTTCGTTGCCAATACATAAGCAACCTTTATCAATGCATGTTTACCTGGCGTGTAAACTGGTCCTCACATGCCATCCTGATCCTCTCAGCTGTGGCTGGACTGTCCAATCGGAACCTCCCTTTCAAACCGGACTCGGCTCTAGCAGACGATATGGCATCCTTGATGGCAAAGAACACTGAGGACGCCAGGAACAAAGGGGGTTCACCTATACCCTGTCAACAACAAGAGCCGGACGGTTTAAGTCTACTCAAAGGTACTTTTTTTAACATGTAAACTATATCAAATTTATATTAATACCTGGATGACGAGATAATGTTAAGAAAACAAATTTGCTCTCTTTACTACAGAAGTCATAATCAACTTATTATATTACAATAATGTATTTTTGAGTTATCTCTACTTGGCCAACGCATTGCCAAATCAAATAATAAATATAACTCCTCGTTAGGTACATTAACTTATAAGCATTCAAAATTACACTCGACTTATTTTCTCAAAGTAATTCTTTGACTGCTGCTTTTCACCAGTACATATTATAGACACTCTTCATTGGTAAAACTTGAAGAGTTTTTGGTTGCAGTTCTTAAAAGAATAAATTATTAGGGATTACAGAAATAAAGGCAACTTAATTTAATATCCAAAATGTCTTATTGCTAAATAACTCTTTTAAGGTTTAAATGATACAGCGTATCCTTACTTTGGAAGAATATACTGCTTTGGGATTGGAAGCACCTTTCAGTAAAGACACATTGAATTCAACGGGGATGTCTCCATAACCAGTGATCTTGTATGTGTTTGGACCATTAGTTATCAGTCTTCCCTCAGAAGAGTATCTCAGTTGTTCGATGGTGAATAACCCATAGCCCTATAAAGCACATACATCCTCTTAGAAAATGAAATGTTATACTTGTTAGGAGTTTACATGTATTTATTTATAGACTTTGTTCTCCCATCTTAGTGTGGCTTAATGTGATATCCAGGGAGTAAATTCTACAATAATTCTAAACGCTATTGCCTTTAAAAAGAGCTGATGGTTTGCTATTAAGTTATCCTTATGTGATTAACACAGCACTCTCCAAAATATTTGTCCGATGAATAAAGAACAATATTTCAATAACTGATAGGAGCCAATCCAATAGTTTTGAGGTATAACTTTCTTCTTTTGTTTTCATTATTATTATTATTATTATTATTATTATTATTATTATTATTATATCACCTGCGCAAAGGCTCCCTCTATCTGTCCAATATCAATGGCTGGATTCAAACTTCTTCCAACATCCATAACGATATCTGTTCGCAGCACCTTAGATGTTATATAGAGATATTTGTAGAACGCCAGGATATATTTACTCTTCTTTGACTTTAGGCTAGACGCCTGGTCCGTTACGCTATTGCATGACAATAGGTAAATAAATACTACAGACTGAATAATAAAATATAACAGAAATAAATATTTCATACTTTTAGAATTATAGACAAAGTAAGTTTAATGGCGATCATTAGCTGTAACAGAAGAGAGGGTCTCTTTTATTAATATAATGACCTTTTTAACTGAAGTCAGAAAGAAGGTTATACTTTTTATTAAAAAGGGATAAACACAAAAACAACATTGTCACTAAAACAGTGTGCATAAAGTATAGCACATTACCACATGGTCTCCGGTTAGGCAATCTATTTCAACCACGGAGCAAGCAGCGCCGTATGTGTAGTACCTCTGCGTGGTTTGCTGTCCTTCTACGGGTACATAGTTATCGTCCCAGGTATCTGGGACCCTGAATATAACAAAAAAACATCGCAATTTCACTAGTGGAAGCCAAACTTTCAGAAGACAGAAAGCTTCAATGGTGAAGAACAAATGTCAGCTCCTGGTTTGGATTGCAAAGCGTGGCCTGGCAAAATAATTAAATTTTTATTTAATTTTTGTTCTGCTTTTGTTTCCACGTTAATTGTCTTTTTGTTCAATTTTATAGGGGAGAGAGGGGTTACCGATATGGGTCCATTTGTATTTCTAAACATTACCGATACAAACACGTTTGAAGACATGACTTACTTGTAATAACCTGTTGCAGACAGGCTGATTCTGTCCATATAGGCAGCTTTAACCTGCAATTACGACAGATAACATTCATTTTTTATATATTAAGACCTTTTTTATATAAAATATAGTTTATTTTTAGTGTGTTGATTATAAACCCAACGTCCTTTCACAGCATTATTTCTACCATCACATAGAGGTACATGTAACGAATTGACAAAAATGTACACAAGGCTTGAACGTGCACTAAACTTGTATTGATAAAATTAATGTTTTATAAGTTTTCGTTTCCGCTAATGTACTAATTACCCTGTATAATCATTCCCAAGCATATATCACTTACCCTATCTTCCCATGATCCACCAGGATTACCGGCTATATACGGCTCAAGTCGGCGTCTTAACGTCTTACATGCATTCTGTAATAGATGCGATATATATACAGTAAGTGTGTGTACTAGTTCCCACTGTTTTTAGGGAGCTTAATCGCCTTCTTTTAAACAACTTAACAGGTACCATTCATATCAATGATTATTTGAATACCAATAAACAAAGCCCATCTAAGTTCAATGCAATAATTCACATAACAATTTGTACTGGATTCTGAAAACTTAATAGGATGACTTGACCATGATGATCTAAATTCATGCTTTAAAACGTTTTCCTTTCTTTACAATAAGACTAACAATAAACATTTGTTAGAAGATGTCACAACCCCAATCAAACATTTAGGGGAAAACGTGACCTTAAAGTTAACAAGGCAGCAAAGCTGTCAAATGTACAGACAAAAATTGAAAATAAAAATGCAGAAAATGGGTCATTTTGTCAATTTTGATGCAATAATAAATAATGCTTATAATAGCACTGTCAATCAACACTGAATCAAACTCACATAATGAAAATCCCAATATTTGAAAAATGATGACAGTGCATTAAATAATATTACTTAATGTTTAAAGACATAAAAACCAATGCAACTGCTTATGTGGAAATATAGAAAATGTGAAGAGCTTCAGGTGAATGTGAAATGAAACTGCCAGTGTTTGAAAAAAAAATTAAAAAAACAATAAAAATATTCTAATAAAGCTGCTTTTCAAACTTTTAATCTTGCTGTATTAACATGATATGAATAACTCCAATGTGTTTGAGAATAATAAGGCACTATTATTCATCTATAGCATAAATGTTGTCATTACACAATTTTTTTTTTCTTTTGTTAACTTATTTGCAATATTAAACAACATTTACCTGCCTAATTATCACCGATTTCTAATTATGTGACACAGTTAAGAGAGCTTAACCTTTGGGACTTTACTGGAAAATCTCAACCTGTGTTTTATGTAATCTTATTTAATGGGCACTTGAAAATTAATTAGGCAAGTGATTTAATAGCTCTGAACTTAGCTAGTGATTACCCAAGGGACAATTACATACCGTACTGACCACCATTCATATACAGTAGCCCCATATAGCACTCTATAGAGCTGCATGGCATCTAAAACAGAAAACAAACACACTGATTTTCCAACACAACATGCACCTCAGTCCTATGAAACTTATCAGTAAGTTTGGGTATCATAAGTAACATGGTTTTCTCTTAACCTTAACGGTCATCCTGGCAGTGGTTTATGCAATATAACATAATGCTTAACAGCATAATGACCATTAATTTTTAATAATAAAGTAAAAGTATCATGGATATTCAGAAAATGTGACTAGCAACGGTATTCAAGCTAATGGAAGTTCAAAGACTAAGTCACACCTTGAAAATGTCCATATGTGAAAATTTTAATTCTAACAAAAAAAAAAACTATATAATTGCCAGGAAAGTTAACCGATATAATAGGTTTTCCAACTGAAGCTATATTTTAGTCCTGTGCTACATTCTGTAAGTTTGGAAAGAGTATGTGACTTGGGTTTCCTTTAATGGTCACTATGGAGGCAGTGTCTAAAATAGGATTGTCTTCCATTTTGACGCAATATTACATAATACTTAACAGCATAATGACTAACAATTTTTAATAATAAAATAAAAGTATCATGGATATTCAGAAAATGTGACATGGAAAGGTCTTCAAGACCATGGCAGTTCAGAGCCACACCTTCAAAATGCCAAAATGTAAACAAGAGATAACTGTACTGAAATTATTTTCTTTCCATTTTCAACACCTTTTTTACATATAACAAAATAATCAATTTACTGTCATTTTTAAATGATCAACTAAGAAAATCAACAAAACAATTTTAAATGTCCAATTTGCTTCATTCTGAGATTCTGAACATGGTGAATGATTGAATATGACAAACTCTATTTAGATATGAGTTTATTTCCATTTTTGACACTTTTTACACAATACACAATAACAGGTTTACCATTATTTTTACACAATTAACTAAAAATATTGTTAAGATGCAGAAAATGTCAAAAGGACACCTTTACATAACTAATTAGTTCACAAATGAGATTGTTAACATGTCTAACAATTAAATCTGTGGAAAAAACACTTATATAAAAAAGGCATAACTTCACCAAAACTGAAACGATCAAGCTTATTTTCGAACTTATCCTGTATTTTAGTAAGACTGATCACCCCTGTGAATTTCAAGACAATTGGCCAATTGATTTTCTTTGAAATGTGTTATCGGTATTGCATATATGCTGAAAAAAGTGAAAAAACAGCATAACTTCCATAAAAATTGTCCGATCATGCTGATTTTCGAATTTGACCTGCATTTTATGAATATTCATCAGTTCTGTAAGTTTTAAGCCAAAAGGTAACACGTTTTTTCACTTATCGTGTTATCACCCGCTCGAAAATGCAGTAGTATCGAAGTAGCAAAGAAGCATTAACGCAGTAGAGGTGTGGAGCATATTTGCAGTAGAAATGCAGTATAGCCTACTGCAATTCTACTTCAAAAATTGCATAGGTTTGTACAGAGGAGGAGCATAAATGCAGTAGATTAGCAGCATGATAGAAGCATGTTTCAAATATGCTAATTAGCTCCCACATCGAAGCAGATTTGAAGCATGTTTGCAGTATGATTGCAGTAGTCTACTGCGCTGGAGTATCTACTTCGTTTTTGTGCGGGCTGCAGTGTTGCACACATGCTGAAAAAAGTGAAAAAACAACATAACTTCCATAAAAATGGCCCGATCAGGCTGATTTTCGAACTTGGCCTGCATGTTATGAATATTCATCAGTTCTGTAATTTTCAAGCCAAAAGTTAAAACGGTTTTTCACTTATGGTGTTATCGGTGAAAGTGCACGGCGACGACGACGGCGATGACAAACGCAGGTGACGGCCATATGTACAGACACATCTGTGTCTGTACATAAAAAGGGTATAAGCCTTAGCCTTTCCCTATGTTTTCCTTTAAACGACGTCTATTAGCACATGTAGTTCAAACGCCGCACTTGCATGCGCAGTAGGCCTTCATAAACTGTTCCCAAGCACTTTGCTCAGTCTATAGATGTACACGGCCCCACAGTTTCAACTCACCAATACAGCCATGCCGTTGAGATCCGATCCTGTGCTGGCAGCTGTGACAGTGGTGTTAGGAACAGAGCTGGTGGTGGTTTCATTGATGTGGAACTTGTGGACTGGGACCTGTAATGCTCGACTGGCAACCTTGAAGGGTAATACCACCTTTATAATGATGTGTCGATAATAATATGAATACCAGGAGTGGATCCAAAATATTATGGGGATAACCCTCTCTTTCCCCCCAAATATGCAAATGGGTAGAGGTCCCAAGAAGCACAATGCGTACCCCAATCTCGACCTACGTTCGATGCCGAAAATATATACCTCTGAGTGGGGGTAGGCGATTAGGGGGATATGCCCTTTATTGAACCCTGCAGAAAATTAAGTGCTTTGTCTTTAACCGACTTGCGATTCACAAAGAATCTAGAAGGCAGCTTTTCCCTTCTTTTAAATCAACATAAAGAGAAAATATAAGTCCTAACAATCGCCTTTGTCTCAGTGGTCATAGTTACTTTAAGGTATGCCAACTACATTTATTTTGAACAGATTCTTTGTTTAACACTCGTAGAACAATCTAGCGGATGTGTCTATAAATTTAAATCGATATTAGTCAAGCCCAAAAACTTATGAAATTTAAGTAAAACTAATGTCAGTAATCTCATCATTATCAGTCTATCAATTTGATGGCACCAAACTCACTACACTCTAAATTGCCTAAATACCCATTACACTGCCTTACAACCGATGAACCTTTCCTGTTTATTAAAAAAAAACAAAGCAAAAGCATGCATTCATGGGTATACTACCGGGTAGTCTGCAACTTATATATCGTCACACCTGTATCATCTTAGTGTGTAATCCTTGTCCCATCTCTACACCACCATGTGTTATCAGAACTGAACCATCCTCTTGGTACACATGAACAAGTGCTGCCCCCTAGTAATCAGACAGAATGAGATAAGTTGTAAGACAATATCTATAGTCTATATCAGTCGCTTTTAAAGTACAATATTTATTTATAAGCAAAATAACCGAAAAGGACATCTTATTTGAATATGCTATTTAGTATTGAAAATAAAATAAACTAACAAAACTAAATACGCAAAAAGGGCTGCTTAACGTGACATATAATGCGCATGTAAAAAATAGATTAATATATTAAAAATATACTGAGAGACAAGTACCAGTGTAATGACATAAGGGGGCATTCTATAGATTCATCTACCTGTTCTAGAAATCGATTATTATAAAAAGAAATCAGAAACTTGGTTGGAATCAAGCTAACTCCGCGCTTCTTCCATCGGTTGTCTCTGAAAGCAGAGTTAACCTTGAAAATTTCATTGTGTTATTGATTTTTATCAAAGTTAATTATTCTGTAATATTGAGCAGTCCTAGGTGAAAATACAGCCAGATCATTTGAAGTCTGACCAGATAAAGCACAATATATCTTTTAATTTAGTGTTACGAAATTGACGCAATCTAAGGTTATGTAGTTCCAACAAAATATAATATAATGATGTCGATAGTTCTTCAGACCGTTTCAGCGACCGGTTGAAAATGCAGACAGTATGGAGGTAGTCCCTACTCATACCAACAAATTTCAAGCCAGTTATAATATAATCTACTGTACATTGTAAATCCATCCGTTACTCCAAAAATATGTAGTTGTGTGTCAATTGACTTAGACTGCTCTCCAAATAAATCTGCAACTTATGTCATAATTGATCAAGATTATCAAATGCAGCGGTAAAACGTAACAAAAGACACTGTGGCAATGTTTAATAAAGACCGCCTCTGTAAAAATGGAGCAAATAATCGCTAAACATTACAACTTTATGTCTCCTCAACAGGAATCCACACTGATTTCCCCTAGCGTTCTACCAAACCCTTTGATTATCACTCGACTGCTGTGCCTAATGTGGAGTACTTTTAAAGGCGATTATGCTATTTTTGATGCCATATTACCTGTTAAATTGGGCAATGTCTTCTTTTTTATGACAAAATCCACTCTGCTCGATGATTTCATTCCAGCAACGGTCTATAGTACAGTTTATCAGTCGAATACCCTTTGGCGTTAGGTCATTTTCCTTGTACATGTTTATCTCACGGACCTTCAACAAATGAAAACAATATTGAATGGTTATATTGCGTAAAATATTAAGGTTATAATACAATTAATGTCATTATAGTTGTACGTTCGTACTGGGTTAGTCAAAAGCAGAGTTTAGGGCCTGATCCAGTTACAATGAACAGTTTACGGTGTCGTAATGTGAATAAGGGAAGCATAACTACTGTAAATATCCCAAATAACCAAGTTAAATCTGTGTGATAAAAGTGATAACTCTGGATGTGGAACAGAGCACAAGATAAGTAAGGTCTTCCTGTAAAAATCCCCGCTTTATTTAAAACATATATTTGTTACATTTTATACCTACCCTGTGTGAGGGAATATTCAGACTGACGGCGACATCTTCAATTATATTCTCCATGACCAGCATTGACTGAGGGGCACCAAACCCCCTGAATGCCGTGTTTGAGGGCAAGTTGGTCTTACACAGGATACCAGTTAGTACAATGTTTGGAATATGGTAACAGTTGTCAAAACAGTATAGTGATGCACTGACGACCTGTAGCACAAAAAAGTGTATACAAACTGTGTATACAAAAGTGTATACAAGTTTATACAATCGTGTATACAAACATCGCACACTTATTTTGTAGTCATTTACATGTATGCATTTCCTTTTGTGATCAGTATCTTGCAATAAATATAGAAAACATTCAGGAGTTTGAACTCACTTCCGGTGACATATCAGAAGTATTTCCTGCATTCAAGAAAACTGTGGCCTCCAAGGCTTTGAAACGACCAACGCTGTCAATGCCAACCTAAAACGAGCATTTCGATTCGTGACAATGAAAGACAAGATAAAAACAATTCCTGCTTGTATCATTTCATTTATTTATGAAATGAATCACACCAGTTGTTTCACACAAACAAAAGGTAATTATTTGAGTTGCTTAAATACCCCTGAAATTCATCAAAACACTACAAAAAAATCAGCAACATTGTCTGATACACACCAAGGTATACATGATATCTTCAATATTTTGACACAGAATTTTTTTTTACTCGTGCATGTAGGTCAGAGAGTAAATATTTGAAACTTAAAAGAAGTCCTCCCGCGTCCAAAATGACGGTGGATTCAGCTAGCAACTAAGGAAGATTCTAAACAAATGGCAACATACCTTGTACTTTCCAAGGAAAGGATGTCGTCCCCCTGATATCAGCATATCCTCGTCTCTATCCAACATACCACGGACTGGGCGGTTCAACCTGTGTATGCATGTAAAACAACAAATCACACGCTGGCATGATATTACACATAGTGTCGGTTTGCATAGTGTCTTCTCTATTTCATTTTATTTGATTCCCAACTTGAACATCTGTGTAGAGTGTACGGGATAATTGGTTACGCCATTTCACATTTTAACAAGCTTTGAATGCGAATCGAAACTTGCGGCAAAATTGGATATAAAAGTCAGGTTCCACTCACTTGAAAGCAGCGATAGCTACTGGTATCAGAGTCACATAACGGGTTTCCTTTCCTCCAAAACCCCCACCTGTAGAGATACAAATTCCAAAATAGCTCTGCCACAAAGTTCCAAAATGAAACAAGTTTCATAAAGTCACAGAATAGATGCAACATGCGCATGTCACAAACACGGTGCACCATACCATTGGATTTACACGTGTATGCTATGAACAGCTATGTTTACGCAGAATGTGGCTAAAGATCAAATACTCTATCCAAGTGAAAAGTTATTGATGTCGGTCTGAGGACTTACACGTCTTGAATATTTACCTAGCCTTTTTGTCCTGATACACACTCTGTTCATCGGTAAGCCAAGGGCTCTAGCAACAATTGCCTTCAAGAAATGTAAGAATTAAGCAGATATAGACATATTGACAAAATAAATTTTATTGTTGACTCCTGTACATGCACAAAACCATTAACTCCAGCGTTTTCTAGATGGTATATAAAGAGTGCGACCTATGACAACAAACAGTAACTGTAGTCCAAAGTGCAATCCTGTTAAGAACACGTCACGATTACGGTAAGTATTGAGAGGCGCGTTGTAACATTACCTGAGCAGTCGACGGAGACTGCGTACTACAAAATATTTCAATTTCTCCATCTTCTCCTCTAGGTACGACTCTCGCCACGTGAGTCTCAAGATAAAAATGTTCCTGCCCCCCTCCTTTGATCTCCCCCTCTAAGATGTGGTCAGCCTGCTCAAAGCCACGTTCTGTATCACCTGACTTGATGAGGGCCTTCGCTTCGTGTGGGTAGTAAGACTCTTTGGCAATTGCTTCCTATAAATTGGCCGTCTATTAATTTTTAAACCCAAATTACATACTGCAACAAATTTGCTGCAACATTGCTACAAACTACAATTAATTCTTTCTTGCAAATCTGCAGTAAATTTGCTGCAATAATGCTGCAAACTAGCAGCAACAAATTTTTATTGCAACTTCCTGCAAACTCGCTGACGCAAATTTTTTGTTTGCAGCAATTTTGCTGCAATATTGTTCTAAATTTATCATTTTGCTAAGGGTAATGCTAAGTTACTGTAGTTCAAAAAGTACTTATTTTCACTTTGTTTCTGTTACCACTACAATATCCAAAGATACATTCATTAACCATGAATATAAATTCTTAACTACTTCCATGATATCTTACCTCTATTGTGAACACTGTTGGAAGGTCTTCGTACTCAATTTTTACGGCCTTCGCTGCTCTCTGCGCATGCGTCTTGGTGTCAGCCACTATGGCACCTATCACCTGGCCGTAACACGTCACCTACAATATTGAAGTACAGGACTGTAGGGAGCAAATAATTTTGGGAGGCGAACTAATAAGAAACAAGGCCAATTCCTGTTGTTTTGATTAATTACATTGCAAGTGTCTGTAAAAAATATGGGATTAACCCCCCTCTCAAGCCCCTCCTTGATTCTACGTGAATTGTACATATTAGTGCAATGATGTTTTTTACTTTCATTGAAGACATCAATCTATGCTCTTTAATCATTTGCCCATAGTCGACTCTACATCACAGGCTACGGATTTCAGCAATACAAACTTATCCAGAGAAAATAGACTTTTGAAAGAAAACATTTTTTTGTGAAATACATACACCCAAGTCCCAAATAAGTAGTCGTTTCAACAATCTACCGGGTACATGTACATTTATACCAATACCTTACCTCCTCTGAAGCAAAAATCTCCTCCCCAGATGACAGAACTATCCTTATATTGGAACCTGGTACATCCTTGTGGCCAAAGAAGGCCTCTACTCCAGGCAAAGCAAGTGCTTCACTAGTGTCAATGGAGAGGATCTTGGCGTGGGCTCTGGTGCTGGTCACCAATGCCAAGTGCAACTCACCTACTCAAATGTGAAACAGAGATAGATAGATAGATAGATAGATAGATAGATATTTTGCACCGGTAAATGACCTGACCGGGGTCGAAATAAAACGTGGTGTTGACCCCAGTTTAGTTTAAATAATTAAAATAATCTTCAAATTCTGAAAGAAAAATCACCACATACAACCGAGAGCTGCAAAACATACCGTCAACCAGTGGCATGTCGTCACAATATTGAGCTTCTCCGGTGGCGTGTTGCAAGCTTGCCTTGTGCTGCAGTGGGCGTCCAACTGCGTCGTGTTTTGGCTGGTCAGGAGGGACTTCCTCAAACACCTGTGTACCTCGGCTGATACTACGTGTCAGACTGGGAAGTGTTTGACGGGGTGATACTGTTGCATCTTCCATCCCAGACTGAAATGTACAATGGATTTGGGGTTGTAAATTGAATAGCTTAATTTGCTAAACTGCTTTAATCGTTTTTTATTGAGTCATGAAGTACATGCGTGCTACGTAATTCTGTTGAACAGAGATTTACTTTCAAGTTGTTATTGTATGTACACTTTGTTTTTATGTCTGTTTTTTTTATTTCAATATTAAAATATTTTCAATATTGAAATATTGATTACAACAAACAGAAAACAGAAAATGCCAATGGTGTTGGTGTTTTACTTAACTAACTGCGTGGCACATATTTTGCCCTTTAACTAGATTTCTTTTTAAAATATTTATTTTGGCCAACTACAAATTTTTACATGTACGTAAGAAATTGTGAATGTACCCCTTTGCGCAATTCTAATTGCACCCTGTGGAAAAACTTGAAAAAGAAACTGCAAGCCAATGCTCTCTTGTAGGGCATCTGACCACTAATGCCCTCTGGTGGTGATGGGAAGTCTTCCGCCAGCCATTGGACTACATCTAATGTTAGCTGATCTTCCCATTTTCTGAAAATATTACAGATTATTCTAACACAATTTACTTCGCAGTCATCTGACACAAGAAAGGGCAAATAAACAAAAAAAGATTGTTATAACTAGACAGCAAGACTGACATATCTGCAAAGACTAAATAAAGGTCAGTCGCAAATTCAAATAGGTCTATACAAAACAGATGATTAGAAGAAAAAAAACTCTTGAAAAATTTCTTATGTTTTCACTCTAATAATGGGATACCTGAAAATTGTAAGAAAATGTATACACCCTTGGTCATAACATACATTTTCCATTTGTAATAAAAAACCAACCCGTCTAATGTATATGTTTTTACATGTTTATTTTATACATGAAAGAGTAGGCCTAGCATTAAATTGCGAAGTAACTAAAACTACCCAACAAACCCCAAAACACGAAATGTGAAGTACTTTCACGGAAAACTACTATTGGACTGTCCCGTATCTACTTGTAGTTTTTCATAGGTAAGTTAAGAAACCACGTCAGTACCTTCCAACACTTCCCCTAGATGTTGTTAGGGCCAACGAAGATGTTTCAGACATGCCACCAAAGGCAACTGACATTTCTTTAATAATATCGGTATCATCTTCAAATAGGACTCTCATCCCAGCGTTCACTATTGCTGCTGCATTTTCTCTGCGCTGTGCCTGCTTGTATCCGAACACAAATTCATTCTGGAAAATTTTTATCTTATTTTAAATTGATCTTATAAGTTTCCACCTTCAACAATCACATACATGTAAGTCATAGTGTGACTTAATTAAAAAACAACATTCAAACTAACAATGTAGATAAATAAACCATTATGTCTTGAATAACGGTATAATCGCCCTTTTCAATGCATCATCATTTATCGCAAGCTGCAAACTAGAAAAAACTATCAAATTGTATCTTTATAACTTGATAAGGCAAAAATATAGCTGACCTTTTTGGAAAAGGGGATGAAAACAGACAATACAATCTCATCGGCTTTAATATTCCAATTTCCGCGCCTTATGTAAAAGGTGTTGTCTAAAGTAGCATTTCTCTGGCCACCCTCTAAAAACAAAATTTAATTGTGTACTTAAAAATATGCATTAGAAAATATACATTGTGATCATGCACAGAAGCAAATTCTTAAGGAAAGAAGAAGTTTTATCTGTTACCCAAAATAATGTGTGTAAGGCAGTAAATAATGAGATTTTGGCGAGGGGTAACAATATTCTTGAAACACTACGTAACTGGAAGAAACAGAACTCATCAATATTTTTTAATTGTTCAAATTCATAGAACGTTTCTCTTTAAATTGGCAGCACTTATGTCAATAGTGGTATATACATACAGGAGTATATAGGCCCTACCATAACTGAAAATGTTGCCAAACAAGAAGATAGTTATCGTCTTTAGCATGAACCCATTAGGTACGTGAGGAGATTGCATTACATGTATACCTTTCGATATCAGGGTTATCGTGGATCCTGTAGCCATCAAGAGAGGAACGAGGTCGGAATGGTGATGTGCCCACAAAATATTTCCAGCCAAAGACTGAAATCAAATTGTTTTTCAAGTGTAATATATATATATATATATATATATATATATATATATATATATATATATATATATATATATGAAATAGGGCAGGTTGTCGGCTTACATATCTCTTACTGGTAATTATGTCGAAAGAGACCCATCTTGTTGCGGGTGTTCTTCCAATACATAGTATCGTTTCTTTTTGGGTAATGCGGCTTATCTGTGATGGTTTACGACAGTTTTTTTTTTCTAAAAAACATAACAATATAAATCGAAAAAACAAACATCTGAGAGACGCACGGCTACATTACGAATTTGATGTCCTGCAATCCCGGTAATAATTCCCCGCATAGCTACCAAGACCTTGTATTTGTATTCTGCAAAGACATTGGTTTCGATTACAACATTACCAAAGTGAAGTTGAAAATAATACACCAAGGTCACTCTTTCTAAAGTTAATAAAAACGTAATAAATGCCTAATAAATAACATTATTTTTTATTCATAGAATTATTTTTGTTACATATAGCCCTAAGGAGGATTCACGTTGACCATTTTATCAAAATGTATACAATTTCGAACACTTTGGAGCCGGATGAAAGTTTTCATAGAATACTGTATTAAAAGAAATACACTGAAACTGTATTTCATCATGTATTGTCTACCTGTTGTATTCTTGATGGCTTCAGTCAAAATCTCGCCAAATCTCGCAAGGGTAACTGCGCCACCAATTTGGATTCCGGTGTCACCCACTCCGACTTCATGTAATTCTGGCACGTGTGCTGCAGCAATCATAACTTGGGCATGCGCTTTTTTGTATTTTGTATCCAACCCTGGGTTAGTAGAACAATATCCATAAACGAACAACTGTTTGAAATGCAGAAATGTTAACAAACGTACCTATACCAGGGCCAACGATTGACATATCACTAGAAATTAACATAGACCTATATTTTCCAGCCAAATCGTGCACACCGCTGTGATCAAGATGCTTAAATGCTTCGACCTTTTAAGTTAAAACTGCTGGCTCCACTGTATGATAAGATTTTCACGTACACAGCTTTGGAAAACCCTTCCAAATCACATATTTACCAGACATGAGTGGACAGATCATCTGTGCGCCACGTGCGTTAAGCAAAGGGCACTTCGCAGAGTTTCACGTTCTGTGAAGACAAGGGGTTTACTACTGGGTAAAAAGAATTGGTTCTATTTGACAGTAAAATAGAGAGGTTCAGTGAGAACCTTTGCACAAAACGAACGACACGCAGTCTGGTAGAGAGTATAACAAATTATGTCCTTCACAAAGACACATTGTAATAGACGCGACTAACGACAAAGTATTTGATATCAAAGCCTTCAACGCCATTTACGTTTTTCCTCTTTGCCCACATATATATAGAAGACCATAGATATATCAAAACGCGTTTATCAATTCCCTATCATGGGGCCTACTGGAATACATTAAAATACAAACCTCTTTAACTTTGACAAATCTCTTTACAAAATACAAAATGTAACAATATATGTGATATTTGGGATGAAATAGAATCTTTATCACCTACCAACAGCTGTGTTTCCAATAACAATCCTAGCATTGGGATATTTGGATTTCAGTTCCAGAAGATCCTTCAAGAGCACAGGCCGTAACCAGGTAACCCTCTCACTCTTGAACATTAGAAATTTTGTCCCAAACCCATTCGAAATCTGCAAAGGTAAAAAAAAAGGCATAATGGTCTAATTGTGCAACAATTCTTTTTTTTTTTTTTTTTTTGCACACCGTAGCATTTTAATATTCTTCGTCACGGGGTTAAGTTGACCAGACACGACACGGGATTAAATTCACTAGACATGACCGATGAAATGTAAATTCAATATTTTTCACAATAAAACCATCTCTGTGCTTACTTTTAATTCAGGGGGGAATATTGGTTCTTGAGTCGTATCGACGGGCACAAACTCGCATGGTTCAGCGACAGCAAGAACATGTTCTTCGTTACTTGGCTGGTTTTTGCAACATTTGGATCCCATGCAACAGGGTCCGTCTTTGCTGAATGTTTTGAACCCTTCAAGGATAGGTCTGTAGCCAGTGCATCTGCAAAGGTTTCCTGAAAGGATCGACGTTTTAAAAGCATGGGTTAATGTTCAATTGCACACCCATTCGATGGCAGGAACAAGAACTGTGTGACTGAATGACATGACAATTCCAGTGAGCTGGTCAATAAGTATCACAATCGGCATGATCAGTCGTGGACAGGACAAGAGTCACTTTTCAAAAGAATGGACTTGTATCACTATTATATGCATTTTCAGTACTAACATGTATCCACACGCTTTGGGCACTGCGCAATGAAAATAAGATATTCAAGATATTTCAATTTTAAAATGTATAACTATTGTGTATTATGCCGCGGATGTTCAAGGATTGGAATACATGGTTTTAGTCGGTACCTTGAAATATGTTTTCCACTTCCTCCTCTGTTGGCTTTGGCTTATTCCTTAGTAACGTGTACATTGACATCACCATACCTGGAGTGCAGAAACCACACTGTGTGCCGTGGGACTTGGCTATTATCTCCTAAGATGACATAAGATATCGTCATCAAAGAAATAACAAACAGCTTCCTAACATTACATACGGCTTTACCCCGTACTGTCCTTTAAGTATGGCAATTTAAGTAAGGCAAGGTTTTATGAAAGATCTCATTGATAAAAATGTTCTTGAAGACCGGTATAATTTCAAGATTTATTATTTACTTATAACTGTTCACAGTTGCCATATGGTATTTTAAAAGCATTATATAGAACTTCAATTTGACCATTGTTTATGAATGAAAGGTGTATCAGGGATGATTTTTTTATTTTTATTCATAGCACGTCTTCTTCCTTTTCACCCCATACCTGAACTGGGTGTAGCCTCGTTTTCGTACTACCAATCCCCTCCACTGTAGTGACAGCGAGGCCATGGAGAGAGCATATTGGAACAAGACACGCATTGGATGCATAATGACAAGTCAACAGTTAGGGAATATAAATCTGTACAAAATCAAGATATCCTAAAGGTTTGATGGGAAATACCCATGAAGATAACAGTAACGTGTAAGGATACAATATTTCGTCCTGTTCCTGATCATACTTTGATATCATCACTGTGCATGCGCCGCACCCTCCTTCTCCACAGCCAAGTTTGGTGCCAGGGAGACGCACTGATACGTGGAGTAAAGGATACATAAATATTTGTAGCAAGGAAAAGAGAGATACGAGAAAGGGCACATTCCCACAGACACGATCGGTCCACGCAGAACGATCCAACTCTGTGAGGAGTCTCTCGCTGAGTGCCGTCAGGTAAACTGATCATGGTTTCGCAAACGACGGAGTGTTAAGAGTACAATTTCACGCTACGTTATAACTTTATGCACTGATATTTTCGTATGTTTCACGTCCAAAAGGATACGTATTTTACGCAGATACTGCAGCAATGTCATCTCCGGGTCGGCATTCTTTTCTATGATCTAAAAGTTATGACGTCAGACGTTCAAGTTATTGAACAATTTTTCACACTGGATTTTGCAAAAAAAAAATTATTTAACGAAATCTGCCCTCTATAATTCATCTGTTATCAAGTCAGATAGCTCTCGTATTTAGGAGTGTAAACAATTAATTATTTGAATTAGATTATAGATATGTTGCTTGTTTAAGCAGTGTTATTGGTACGTATATGCCTATATCACGTACGCATTGCACCCTTATGCAAAAAAAAAAAAAAAAAAAAAAAACGTTCTGTAGAAATTGCCGTTCTGTGCAGTAGTCGTTGCTGAAAATATGATCTTTTAACCAAAACTGAGTTAAATATTGTCAAGTATGCATTCTGTATTTTGTCCAGTGGATACAGTTATGGTCAGTTAGGGTAACAATACTTAGATAATCTAAAGAACAGTAATAGATTACACCAAGTACGTGAACGTCTGCTAAATTTGAGAAACCTTCTTTACCATTAACGAAAAATAAGTAAAATATGTTCAGGTATGCAATCCGTTTTTGTCCAGTGGATACAGTTATGTTCAGTTAAAGAAACAATCCTTACATAATCGAAAGATCAGTAGTAGGTAACAATAAGTACGCGAACGTGCATTAAACTTGAAATACCTTCTTTCCATTAACGAAAAATACTAGCTCATCAGCGCCCATGCTCCCCGTTGACAGTAACTTCGCCGCTGTCGTGTCTTCGGGTGGATGTCTGTTCAAGAAGTTGGCCTTGATAAGTAACTAGGTTATGGAAAGTCTACGTGCGGGTTGACACACTGCAGACAATGTTGCGCAACAGAAACACCTTTCCCTGACACTTGAGGTTTTTATATTACTACATAAATAGAGAGACATTATGCTCTGTTTAATAATTAGTACATAATTTATAATTAGTACATGAAAATTCTTGTGGCGAAGTGAGTCACTGGGATACTCGACATTGGGAAAGGAAAGATAATTATGCTATAAGGCTAAATTATAATTACGTGATGAAAATGAATTAAAGGTGGTGGAAAAGAAAAGAAAGAAAGTAAATGGAAAGAGAGAAAGCAAAAACGAGACAACGTATGTACATGTAAGAATAAAAATAAGCGTAAGATTCGGAGTGCTTACCTGGTGATCCTTTTGCAAAATTGGAAGTAACATTCTCCGACGAATTTTGAGGTCTGATCTTACCAGCAGAAAGAGTAAACTGCCCTTAGTCACGTGTTATCGAAACTTGCTACTGATTGGTTCTGCGTCTTTACGGTATGTGAGAGGTCATGTATTGATAATGCTGCATTCGCGTATGCGGAATACCCCGATGACTCCCGAATGTAAATCTTTGCGATAACCTTTGCGATAAACCTTGTATTTATAATACTACAGAAATAGAGACATTTTTGCTCTGTTTAATAATTACATGAAAACTTTTTGTGGCGAAGGTGTTACCGGGATATTAGAATTCGGCACAGGGAAAGTAAAGATAATTATGCAATAAGGATAATAGATTATGATCACGAAATGAAAATTAACTGAAAAAAGATGTAATTATTAAAGTTAGGGGTGCAAATGCGCCACGACAACCAGGGTTTCCACTGTAAACCCGGGTTTTATTGCAGGTCTTATAAATCGCGCTCCACTACATGTTCATTGTACGTATACGTCTCAGTGCAATATATGATATATGTGGATTTTGGGGATAAAACCTCAGTACATGTAGGCCTGGAACGTTGTCACAGCGATTTTATTATACATGCGTTGGATAAAGTTGGGGTGGTCAGTTTTCATCAGCAACAGACAACTTTTAAGAGTGTCTGGGCTTTATTAATCTAATTCATACATTTAGCATCGAGGCTGGGATGTTTATTTGAACTTATGCTTGTTTGGGGAAAGTTAGAACTGGAGGATACTCCGAATATTTCGGGGTACCATCTGGAAAATACGACCGCTGTTTTGGGCGTGATGGCCGAATAGAATAAAAAGGGGAGCAGGTTGCATTGATATCGCAACACAACTACGTTTCTGAACATAAGAGGTTTCCTGTGACTGTTTGTACGTGTATGTTTTTTTATAAAGAGTGATCGTGATAATGAAAATAAATTGCTGACGAAAACCGTAGCTTCTGGTTTCTCTGCGCGAGTTTTTAGGAACTCTAAAAGGAAGAGAATGTTGTTATGGTGATTTTATTAGGAAATTTTTAGTGACACCTTTATATAATGATCAAATGCAATGTAGTAAGGCAAACAACCATAGAATCAATAAAAACACTTGAACACGCGCTAGTTGGTGGTGGTATACGTGTAATGGTAACAAAAATAATATAATTACAAGATAAAAATAATATATTAATAAGAGGTGCAAATCAGATACTGTACACATCTGTCTTAAGATAAAATGGTAAAAAGATGGTGATACGAGTTCTTCAAATAAGAAAACATACAAATAAGCCCCATAATAATAACTTCCACATGCGGTCAGGTATTTTAGGATGGTCATCTTAAGGTGTGAATGTCAATATGGTGCCCGTGTATTCTTAGACAAAATCAAAATTACTTTCCTACAATTTTCAATAGAATTACTATCGCAACGGTAACCAAATAAACACATGCCTCAGTACTCTAGACTGCACTATCATACATGTGCTCTGACCGATTATATTTAAAGAGTCTTGAGTACATCCATGGCAGTCATTATATTCTAATTACAGTTGTCCAATAAGAAAACCCTTCACCATTAATTTGCTATTGCGAATTGCCATGCGGTTATCATAGGGAGTTAAAGAGTCCACACGTGTTTCCTGATATATATAACCTGTAGACAAATTTTGGCTGAATCCTGGTTATAACATAACCAAACTAACGTTGGTACCAAGCTTTCCTGTCACATGTCCTACTTGTTCACACATCTATAAACCTTGCCCTTGTATGATGGGTGCTTGGTGAACACTATAACAAAGCAAAAGGAGAGTGTTTTAAGTCAGTATGTACCAGTGCCAGTAAGTTAAAATGAAATATTCTGGTTCTGAATACAGATAAAGGATATCGAAGGCAGCAGGGTAGTTTAAAAAACACATATAATTTTCCATTGTGTATGCAACTTTTTATTTTCCTTCCGCTACTTAGACCACTTTAAAAACTAACTGCCTTGGAACGTTTCAGATAACCTTAGAGACAGCAGGTAATACTATGTACCAGCCTTATTTTACATAGTGAAAGTGAGACCGGCTGAAGTCTAGGAGAGGGAGACGTCGCCAACTAGAATAAGTCTATTAACAGATTTAAAAAATAGCGACTGAAGAATTACTGATGTCTTGACCTCCACGTATAAATCAGTTATTAAAATGTAGCATTTATCAAGGCGAGTGCATTGCCTTAGAACAATGGTTTTCGAGGTCTACATAAGCAGCATTTCTCAATGTACGTTTACCTGGCATGTAAACTGGTCCTCACATGCCATCCTGATCCTCTCAGCTGTGGCTGGACTGTCCAATCGGAACCTCCCTTTCAAACCGGACTCGGCTCTAGCAGACGATATGGCGTCTTTTATGGCAAAGAACACTGAAGACGCCAGGAACAAAGGAGGTTCTCCTATACCCTGTCAACAACAATTAAGAGCCGGACGGTTTAAGTCTCCTCAAAGATATTTTATCTAACATGTAAATGATATCAAATTTATATTAATATCTGGATGGCGTGATAATGTTAAGAAAACAAATTTGCTCTCTTTACTGCGGAAGTCATAATGAACTTAATAATGAACAATAACGTAATATTGTTTTTTCTCTACACGACCAACACATTGTGAAATCAAATAATAAATATATTTCCTCGTTAGCTACATTATAAGACAACTACATTAAAGTTGCTTTATTTTCTCAAGGTAATATTAATCCTTTGACTCTTTAGTACATATATAGACACCAAAACGTAAAAGTTTTTTTGGTTGCGGTTTAAGAATAAAATATTAGGGATTATAGCATTTACAGAATTATATTACAAAGGCAACTTAATTTAATATCCAAAATATTTTATTGTTGGGTAACTCTTAATGAGTTATCCTTACTTTGGAAGAATATACTGCTTTGGGATTGGAAGCACCTTTCAGTAAAGAAACATTGAATTCTACAGGGATGTCTCCATAACCAGGGATCTTGTATGTGTTCGGACCATTAGTTATCAGTCTTCCCTCAGAAGTGTATCTCAGTTGCTCAATGGTGAATAGCCCATAGCCCTAAAAGCAAATGCATCCTCTCATAAAAATTAAATGATAGGCCTATACTGGTTGGGAGTTTTACAAGCATCCATAAACCAACATTTTGTTTAAATGTATTCATAGACTTTGTCCTACCATCTTAGCGCGGCTTAATGAGCTATCAAGGGAGTGAATTCTACAATAATTCTAAACGCTATTGCTTTTTAAAAACTGATGGTTTGCTATTAAGTTATCCTTCTGTGAAAAACAGAGCACTCTCCAAAATATTTGCCCAATGAATAAAAAACAATTCCAAAACTCATAGGAGCCAATCCAATTGTTTTGAGGAATTATATTAACTTCTTTTATTATTATTATTATTATTATTATTATTATTATTATTATTATAACACCTGCGCAAAGGCTCCCTCTATCTGTCCAATATCAATGGCTGGATTCAAACTTCTTCCAACATCCATAACGATATCTGTTCGCAACACCTTAGATGTTATAAAGAGATATTTGTAGCACGTCAGTATATATATTTACTCTTCTTTGACTTTAGGCTGGACGCCTACGCAATTGTATAACAATGGGTAAATAAATACTACAGACTGAATAATAAACAATAATGAAAATGAACATTTCATACTTTTAGAATTATGGCCAAAGTAAGTTTAATGGCGATCATTAGCTGTAACAGAAAAGAGAGTCTCTTTTATTAATATGTATTTTTAACGGAAGTCAGGAAGAAGTCTACCTATTTTTTATCAAAAATAATAAACACATAAACGACATTGTCATTAAAACAGTGAGAATAAATTATAACACATTACCACATGGTCTCCGGTAAGGCAATCTATTTCAACAACGGAACAAGCGGCGCCGTATGTGTAGTACCTCTGCGTGGTTTGCTCTCCTTCAACAGGTACATAGCTATCGTCCCAGGTATCTGGGACCCTGAATATAACAAGGAAACATCGCAATTTCACTAGTGGAAGCCAAACTTTCAGAAGACAGAAAGCTTCAATGGTGAAGAACAAATGTCAACCGCCAGGTTTGGACTGCAATTGCGACCTGATAAAAAATCAAAATTTCATTTCATTTTGTACTGGTTTTGTTTACATAGTGTTTCTTAAAATATATTTACTTACTATTCAATTTTCGTTATTCAATTTTCATTAGGGAGAGAAAGGGTCCCCTTTATTCCGAAGGTTTTAACAAACGGTTTATATTAGGGAAACACTAAATTAGGGATTGATGCAATAACATAACGTAAGCATTTTTAACATAGACTTGCATTTAATTTAGCAAATGGGTCCATTTGTGTTTTTAAACACTACCGATTTGGGTCTTTTTGTGTTTTCTTTTAAACATTACCAATTTCGGCCCATTTGTGTTTTTAAACGTTTCCGATATGGGTCCATTTGTGTTTCTAAACATTACCGATACACACACATTTAAAGACGTGACTTACTTGTAGTAACCTGTTGCAGACAGGCTGATTCTGTCCATATAGGCAGCTTTCACCTGCAATTACGACAGATAACATTCATTTTTATATATTGAGACCTTTTTTATATAAAATATAGTTTTTTTAGTGTGTTGATTATAAACCGAGCGTCCTTTCACAGGATTATTTCTACCGTAACAAAGAGATAACGAATTGACAAAAATGTGCTCAAAGTTTGAATGTGCTCTGTACTTGTACTGATCAAATTCATGTTTCATAAGTTTTCATTTCCGTTAATATACTAATTATAATCATTCCCAAGCATATATCACTTACCCAATCTTCCCATGATCCACCGGGATTACCGGCTATATACGGCTCAAGTCGGTGTCTTAACGTCTTACATGCATTCTGTAATAGATGCGATATGTATACAGTTAAGTGTGTGTACTAGTTCTCACTGTTTTTAGGGAGCTTAACCATTTTCTTTTAAACAACTTAACAGGTACCCTTCGTATCAATGGTTATTTGAATGCCAATAAACAAAGCTCATGTCAGCTCAACGCAATCATTCACACAACAATGTTACTCACCAGATGACTTGATCATGATGATCTAACTTCATGCTTTAGAAGTTTTCCTTTCGTTACAGTAAGACAAATAATAAACATTTCGTAGTAGATGCCACAAACCCAAACAGAACTTTAGGGGGGGAAACATTTCATTAATCTTAAAGCTTAAAAGGGTATAAGCCTTAGTGTTCTAAAATCACAGGTGGTACAAAGACCGTGCTTACATGCCTTGTAGGCCTTCAAGAACTGTCCGCAAGCACTTTCCTCAGCCTATAGATGTACACGGCCCTATGTTATCAACTCACCAATACAGCCATGCCGTTGAGATCTGATCCTGTGCTGGCAGCTGTGGCAGTGGTGTTCGGAACGGTACTAGTGGTGGTTTCATTGATGTGGAACTTGTGGACTGGCAACTGTAACGCTCGACTGGCAACCTTGAACGATAATACCACGTTATGTGTCGATAATAATGCAGGGGCACAGTAAATTAGATCTCGGCTCAATTCAACCGGTCGAGGGACAACGCGTGGGGGGGGGGGGCGTGTGAGAGGCGGCGAGACCATTACAGAATTAGCGGTCTTCCTTTCATGTAGGTCCCCCCTAGTTAGGTCGCAACCTTACTAAACCTCGGCTCTTCTCGGTGTGAATCCTCCCTAAATTGCATAAATACCCAGTACACTGACTTACAGCCGAAGAACCTTTCCTGTTTATTTAGAAAAGCAAACCCAAAGCATGCAATCACGGCACCTTTATGGCTATACTGCCGCGTAGTCTGCAACTTTTATACTGTCATACCTGTATCATCTTAGTGTGTAATCCTTGTCCCATCTCTACACCACCGTGTGTTATCAGAACTGAACCGTCCTCTTGGTACACATGAACAAGTGCTGCCCCCTAGTAATCAGACAAAACGAGATAAGTTGTAAGACAATGTCTACCGGTATACCAGTCACGTTTGAAGTATAATATATAATTATATACAAGATAACAGAAAAGGGAATTTTATTTGAATATGCTATTTATAAAGTATTGAATTTATCATTAGTTGTAAACACAAAATAAACCAACAAAAAAAAATAAAAATACGTGAAAAGGACTGACTAATGTTACAGAATGCACATGTAAAAATAAAGTCAATTAAGCACAGTATGGTACCCTTTTCTTTGAGGAACAATTACCAGTACAATGATATAAGGGGACATTTTATAGATTCTTGTACCTGTTCTAGAAAACGCTCATTATAGTAAGAAATCAGAAACTTGGTTGGAATCAAACTAACTCCACGCTTCTTCCATCGGTTGTCTCTGAAAGCAGAGTTAACCTTGAAAATTTTACTTTGCTGTGTTATTGATTTTACCAATCCCTCTGTAATATTGAACAGCCTTGGGAGAAAAATACAGACAGATGCTTTTTAAATACCATTTGAATTCCGACTAGATAAGACGAAAGATCTCTTTTAATTTAGTGCAATAAAGTTAAGCAGTTCCAATATAATGTAATAAATGTATCTCAATAGTTTTCAGCCTGTTTCAGCGACCAGTGGAAAATGCTGACTGTATAGAGGTAGGCCCTATACCCATATCTACAAATTTCAAGCCAGTTGTAATACAAATACGTATACATTTAAAATCCGCTACTGCAAAAATTTATAGTTGTGTGTCAATTGACTGAGACTTCTCTTCAAATAATTCTGTAACTTATCTCATGATTGATCAAGATTATCAAATGCACCGGTAAATGTAACAAAAGATTGTGGCAACGTTTTTCAAAGGCTGCCTCTGTAAAAACGGATCGAATATTCGATAACTATTACAACTTTTTTATCTCCTCAACAAGAACTTAAACTTATTTATTTCTTATAGCGCTCTATCGAATCGCTTGATTATCACTCTACTGCTGTGCCTATTGTGGAGTAGTTTAAAGGTGATTCTGCTATTTTTGATGCCATATTACCTGTTAAATTTGGCAATGTCTTCTTTTCTCTGAAAAAATTCACTCTGCTGGATGACTTCATTCCAGCAATGGTCTATAGCACAGTTTATCAGTCGAATACCCTTTGGCGTGAGGTCATTTTCATTGTACATGTTTATTTCACGGACCTTCAACAAATGAAAACAATATTGAATGGTTTTATTGCGTACAATATTAAGGTTATAATACAATTAATATTATAGTACATTATAGTTGTACGTACGTACTGGGTTAGTCAAAACCAGAGTTTAGGGCCTGATCCAGTTACAATAAACAGTTTATGTCGTAATGTGAATAAGTGAAGCATAAATATAAAACACAAATGACCATGTTAAATCTGTGTGAAAAAAGTGGTAAAATTGGATGTGGAATAGTTATGTCTTCCTGCAAACGCTCCGCTATATACAGACCTACGATACAGATTCTTTGTTACATCTCATACCTACCTTATGTGAGGGGATATTCAGACTGACGGCGACATCTTCAATTATATTCTCCATGACCAGCATTGACTGAGGGGCACCAAACCCCCTGAATGCAGTGTTTGAGGGCAGGTTGGTCTTACACAGTACACCAGTAAGTACAATGTTTGGAATATGGTAACAGTTGTCAAAACTGTATAATGATACACTTACTACCTGTAGCATAAAAAAGTACAGAAAATAATGTGTCGAAATATATATTACATTGTATATACAAACATCGCACTTATTTTGTAGTAATTTACATGTATATAATTTCCTTTTTGATCAGTATATTGCAAAAAATATAGAAAGCATTCAGTAGTTAGAACTCACTTCCGGTGATAAGTCGGAAGTATTTCCTGCATTCAAGTAGACTGTGGCGTCCAAGGCTTTGAAACGACCAACGCTGTCAATACCAACCTGAAACGAGCATTTTGATTCATGGACAATTAAACACAAGATAAAACCAATCCCTGGTTGTATCAGTTTCACTTATTTTGGAAATGAATCACAACAGTTGCTACACACAGACACAAGCTAAATATCGGAGTTGCTTAAATACGCCTGAAATTCATTAAAACAATTAAAAAAATCAGCAACATTGACTGGTATACAAGACAGGATATCTTCATTATTTTGACAGAGAAGTCTCTTACCTGTGCATGTAGGTCAGTGAGTAAATATTTGAAACTTAAAAGCAGCCATTCCGAGTCCAAAATGACAGTGGATTCAGCTAACAGCTGAGGTAGATTCTAACCAAATGGCAGCATACATGTACCTTGTACTTTCCAAGGAAAGGATGTCGTCCCCCTGATATCAGCATATCTTCGTCTCTATCCAACATACCACGGACCGGTCGGTTCAACCTGTGTAAAACAGCATATGCCACATGATGACATGACATAACACTGCATAGCGTCGGTTTGCATAGCGTCTTCTCTATTTCATTTTATCTGTACTAATCAATGGGAAGGGGACTCTCTGTTATGGGGGACTCTCTGTCACATTACACCGGCTTGCACATGGCCTGTAAATATAGTCCTGTCACCCATGAACCGAATTCTTAGCTTCCTGGATTTTTTTTTTTTTTATTATACATAAAAATTCGAAACATATCTTCAAAATATGGTAAAAGCTCTTCTCTGTATTTATAAACGTATATAAATTGCTAAATAACAACAAATTTTTGAAGAAAATGTTGGGTTCCACTCACTTGAAAGCAGCGATAGCTACCGGTATCAGAGTCACATAACGGGTTTCCTTTCCTCCGAAACCCCCACCTGTAGAGATACAAATGCCAAAAATAGCATTGCCACAAAGTGCCAAAATGAAGCAAGGTTTACACAAACATGTTACACCATGCCATTGGATACGTATGTGTATGCTATGAACAGTCATATTGGATTATTCAACTTTAAAGTTGTTGAATGAGGCTAAAGATCAATTACTCTATCAAAGACCCCATTTCCATAGATTTTAGATTGATCTATCCCTATGGGGAGTCTCACTAGATTACTGTCAGCTTAGCCGGCTTAAGCGTCTGTCACTCCTACTAAAAGCTGTAAAGGGGTAATTAACTATGGTGCGCGCTCGGCTGCAATTTAGCGTGAACCCCCAGGGAGTTAGGCCAATCTAAATCTTAATCCCTGGATCGATCTAAATCTCTGGGAATACACCCCAAGTGAAAAGTTATTCATTTCGGTCTTAGGATTTACAGGTCTTAAATATCTACCTAGCCTTTTTGTCCTGATACACACTCTGTTCATCGGTAAGCCAAGGGCTCTAGCAACATTAGCCTTCCATGAAATGTAAGAATAAAAATACTTTTTAAGGCAGATATAGGATTGCAAAAATCAGTTAAAAGAAAAAAAAATAGAAAAAATAAATTTAGTTGTTGGCTCCTACTGCACATGTACAATAACATTAACTCCACCGTTTTCTAGATAGTATACAAAGAGTGCGCCCTATGACAACAAATCCTAGCTGTAGTCCAATTGGGCTTAAATCGAAAGAGTCTAACCCTGTTAAGTACACATCACAATGAAGCATTTGGAAAGCGGGTTGCAACTTTACCTGAGACTTCGACGGAGACTGCGTGCTACAAAATATCTCAATTTCTCCATCTTCTCCTCTACGCACGGCTCTAGCCACATGCGTCTCCAGATAGAAATGTTCCTGTCCCCCTCCTTTGATCTCCCCCTCTAAGACGTGGTCAGCCTGCTCAAAGCCACGTTCTACATCGCCTGACTTGATGAGGGCTTTCGCTTCGTGTGGGTAGTAGGACTCTTCGACAATTGCTTCCTATAAATTGGCCGTCTGTTAATATTTAAACCCTTATTACAAACCGTACCTTCCCTTGGCAAAATATCAGACCTGCTGCAAATTTGCAGCAAATTTGCTGCAAACTGCAATTGATCCCCTCTTGCAAATTTGCAGTAAATTTGCAAACTCCTGCAAACTCGTTGCCGCAAACTTTGAGTTTGCAACAATTTTGTTGCAATATTGCTCCGATTTTTTCATTTTGCTAAGGGTTATGCTAATTGATGAAAAACTACTTTATTAAAATTCAAAAAGTAGACATGTTTTCACTCTGTTTTTGATACCACTACAAAATCCAAAGAAACATTCTATAGCCATAAAGTTAAACTCTTATTACTTCCATGATATGTTACCTGTATTGTGAACACTGTTGGAAGGTCTTCGTACTCAATTTTTACGGCATTCGCTGCTCTCTGAGCATGCGTCTTAGTGTCAGCCACCAAGGCACCTATCACCTGGCCGTAACACGTCACCTACAATATTGATGTGCATATTTATGTGAATAGGAAGTAGATTTTAAATGGGAGGGGGACTGATAAGAAAGAAAACTAATTTCTGTGACTCTGACTAATATCATTGCAAGTGTCTGTAAAATATAGCCCCTCCTTGATTCTACATGTGCATAGCAGTGTAAATAAATTTCAACTTAATACAAAGATCACAATGAAGAAATTACAATAAAACACATACATTAAATAACTAAAAAATATGTACATAACAATGCTGCCTACACTCTTTTGCGTACAGTACTAGGCGTGTTCCAACCATGACAATACATGGTGACGTTTAATTACCACTCAGCAGAACACCAATCATCCAACATATGAGGGCGCCACTCACACCAAGACGAGACAACACAAAGTAAACAAGACAAACAACATAAACAAATGAAACAAAACAAAAAATAAATTTGCCGACGACACTGTCCGCAACAACCTATTAATCCAAATAAAAAAGACACATTGTTGTGAAATACGTACACTCCATTCCCAAATTAAGTAGACGTTTCAGCAATTTACCGGTTACATGTACAAGTAAACCAATACAGTACCTCCTTTGAAGCAAATATCTCCTCCCCAACTGTCAGAACTCTCTTTATATTGGAACCAGGTACATCCTCGTGGCCAAAGAATGCCTCCACTCCAGGCAAAGCAAGTGCTTCTCTAGTGTCAATGGAGAGGATCTTGGCGTGGGCTCTGGTGCTGGTTACCAATGCCAAGTGCAGCTCACCTAATCAAATGTGGAAAAGAGATGGATGGACGAACGAACGGACAGACGGACAGACAGACCGATAGATAAATATACTAGAAGATGCATAGATACCTTGTACCGGTAAATAACAGGGGATCAAAATAAACGTGTTGCTGATCCACAGTTGAGTCAAAATGATAAAAATAATCTTCAAATGCTGAAAAAAAACACACTGGTTAAAAAACCGAAAGCTTCAAAAAGTACCGTCAATCAGTGGCATGTCGTCACAATACTGAGCCTCTCCGGTGGCGTGTTGCAAGCTCGCCCTGTGCTGCAATGGGCGTCCAAAGGCGTCGTGTTTTGGCTGGTCAGGAGAGACCTCTTCAAACACTTGTGTACCTCGGCTGATGCTCCGTGTCAGACTGGGAAGTGTCAGCGTGTGCCGGGGTGGAACTGTTGCATCTTCCATCCCAGACTAAAAGGTACAATGAATTTGGGTTGTAAATTTGAATTTGAATTGCTTTCGAAATCTTTTTATTTACCCAACTAACTGCGTAGAACATATTTTGCCCTTTAACTAAATTTCTTTTCAAACTAGTTTCTTTACAATTTTGTAAAGACGATTTTGTACATGTAGGTAAGAAATTGTGAATGTACCCCTTTACGCAATTCTAATTGCACCCTGTGGAAAAACTTGAAAAAGAAACTGCAAGCCAGTGCTCTCTTGTAGGGCATCTGACCACCAATGCCCTCTGGTGGTGAATGGAAGTCTTCCGCCAGCCACTGGACTACATCTGATGTCAGCTGGTCTTCCCATTTTCTGAAAATATAACCGGTTATTCTAACACAATTTAGTTTGCAGTCAATCGGACACAAGAAAAGGAAAATTAGCAAGAAACAAGATTATAACTAGAAAACAAGACGGCCATATCTACATAGACTAAATAAAGGTCAGTGGCAAATTCAAATAGGTCCTTTCAAAAAAGATGATTAGAAGAAAAAACGCTTGTAAAGATTTCTGACGTTTTCACCTCAACGTCAAATACAGTTAACCTGAAATTTATAACAAAATTTATACAGCCTTGGTCATGATATACATTTCTATATTTCTAATGAAAAGAAAACGCGTCTAATGTACATGTTGTTACCAGTTTATTTTAACATGAAAGAGTAGCATTAAATTACAAAACTACCAAACATACCCCAAAACACAAAATGTGAAATACGTTCATGAAAAACTACTACTAGTCTGTCGCATATCTAATCGTAGTTATTCATAGGTAAATTAAGAAACCACGCCAGTATACCTCCCCACACATTTCCTTGCTGTTGTTATGGCCAACGAAGATGTTTCAGACATGCCACCAAAGGCAATTTGCATTTCTTTAATAATATTGGCTCCATCTTCAAACTGAACTCTCATCCCAGCGTTCACTATTGCTGTTGCATTTTCTCTGCGCTGTGCCTGCTTGTATCCGAACACAAATTCATTCTGGAAAAAAATTTTAATCGTATTTTAATTTTACCTTAAAATTTCCACCTTTAAAATTCACATCACTCACTATTTACTGTAATTAAAAAACAACATTCACACTGACAAAATAAGGAAACACACCCTTGTGTATCATATTGTATTATTGCAAACGGCAAACTAGGAAAAACAATCAAATTACATCTTTATACCTTGATAGGGCAAAAATATAGCTAACCTTTTTGGAAAAAGGGATGAAAACAGACAAAACAATCTCATCCGGTTTAATATTCCAATTTCCGCGTCTGGTGTAAAAAGAGTTGTCCAAAAAAGCATTTCTCTGGCCACCCTCTAAAAATACAAAATTAATTACGTACATTAAAATATGCATTGGCAAATATACAGTGTGGTCATGCACAGAAGCAAAATTCTTAAGGATAGAAGATTTATCTGTTATCCAATAGCAGCAAATAAGGAGATTTTGGCGAAGGGTAGAAATATCCTTAAAGTACTACGTAACTGGAAAAGGCAGAACTCATCAATATTTTTAAATTGTTGGCGTTCACTAAAAACATAGAACGTTTCTCTTCAAATGACAGTATTTATGTCAAAAGTGGTCAATATATATATATATATACCATAACTGAAAATGTAGCCGAGCAAAAAGATCGTCTTTAGCATGAAACCATAAGTTTCTTGTGTACGTTGGTATGGGGAGAGATTGCAATTCATGTACCTTGCGATATCAGGGTTATCGTGGATCCCGTAGCCATCAGGAGAGGGACGAGGTCGGAATTGTGATGTGTCCACAAAATATTCCCGGCCAAAGACTGAAATCAAATTGGTTTTCAAGTGTAACGTTGGTTTTTATATATGAAATAGGACAAGTAGTCGGCTTCAGGGGCGGATTTAGGCCGTCTTCTGGGTCTTCCGGAAGACGGTCAGATTTTCAAGTTTACATTGACGGGTATCTATTTTTTTCTGTCGGAAGACGGTCAAAAATTGGAAGTTGGCTCAACAAAGATAATTTGGAAGACTGTCAGAAAATATCTCTGGATCCGCCCCTGGGCTTACATATCTTTCACTGGAAATAATTTTACTGGTAAAAAAAAGAACCCATCTTGTTTCCGGTGTTCTTGCAATACATAGTATTGTTTCTTTCTGCGGCTTATCTGATATAGTTTGCGACAGTTTTTTTTTTAATGTTATACAATATAAATCGAAAAACAAACATTTGGGAGACGCACGGCTACATTACGAATTTGATGTCCTGCAATCCCATTAATAATTCCCCGCATGGCTACCAAGGTCTTGTATTTGTATTCTGCAAAGACATTGGTTTTGATTACAATATTTCAGACAAAATGAAGTTGAAAATAGTATACCCAGGCCAGTGTTTTCACGCAGGTCATTAAACGGTATAAAAGCCTAATATATGATGTTAATTTTTAATCATAACATTTAGTCCTAAGGCAGATTCAAGTTGACCATTTCTTCGAAGTAGAATTTAAAACAGTTGAATGAAAGGTTTCATAGAATACTGTATTAAGAGAAAAACACTGTATTTCATAATGTATTGTCTACCTGTTGTATTCTTGATGGTTTCAGTCAAAATCTCGCCTAATCTCGCAAGGGTAACTGCGCCACCAATATGGATCCCTGTGTCATCCACTGCGACTTCATGTAATTCTGGCACGTGTGTCGCAGCAATCATAACTTGGACATGTGCTTTTCTGTATTTTGTATCCAACCCTGGGTTAAAAGAACAATATCCATACACAAACAACTGTTTGAAATGCAAAAATGCTAACAAACGTACTCTATACCATGGCCAAAGATTGATATATTACTAGAAATTAACATATATCTTTCAGAAAAAATGTATTCACCTTTCTGTGCTGTGACTCTGTGATGAAATCTGAGCAAGTCCCCGACAAGTACCTTTCACGGCATTCAAGATACTTTTAAGCATTTAAAAATACTCCGACCTTTTAAGTTAAAACTGCTGGCTCCATTGTGTGATAGCTAGGATTTTCATGTGCATAGTTTTGGAAAACCCTTCCAAAACACATGACTTATTTACCAGACATGAGTGGAGACAGATCATCTGTATGCCACGTGCGTTTAGCAGAGGGCACTTCGCAGAGTTACAAGGGAGCTTACACAAATTTTGGCCTTAACAATCTTAGCTTACACAATAATTTGGCTTACACAATTTTTTGGCTTACTCAGTTTTGGCTTACGGTTGGCCTCTTTGCAACCCCACAATTTGAAATGTGTGCACTATTTGTCTGGAATTATAATTTAAATGTTGATACTTCTGGCGCACACTAAGTTTATATAATCTATCAACATTATCAATGTTTATCAGTAATACGCTTTATTTCTTTTTATTAATGCGACTTCCAATAAAAGCGGCCATCATCGGCCAAATTTCAAACATCACACTTGTGTCTGTTACATTACTAACGCGGACATATCCTAATTCTTACATCAACTTAGATCAAGGAGACATAAAGGGTTTTATACCGGGTAGAAATAATTGGTTTTATTTGATAGTAAAACAAAGAGGTCTAGTGAGAGCTTTTGCATAAAATTTATGACACGCCTTCTGTTAGAGAGTGCAACAAATTATGCCCTTCACAAAGGCACATTGTAATAGACGCGACCTACGACAAAGGAGAACATTTGATAACAATGCCGTCAACACCATCTACGTTTTTCCTCTTTGCCCACATATATATAGAAGGCCATAGGTATATCAAAACGAGTTTATCGATTCTCTATCATGGGGCCTACTGGAATACATTAAAATACAACCCTCTTTAACTTAGACAACTCTCTTTGCAAAACACAAAAATGTAACAAGATATGTGATATAGGGATGGAATAGAATTTTAATCACCTACCAACAGCTGTGTTTCCAATAACAATCCTAGCACTGGGATATTTGGATTTCAGTTCCAGAAGATCCTTCAAGAACACAGGCCGTAACCAGGTAACCCTCTCACTCTTGAACGTTAGAAACTTTGTCCCGAATGCATTCGAAATCTGCAAAGATAAAAGTAAAAAGGCAAAATGGTCCAATTGTGCAAGATTTAATTTTATTTTGCACAACGGAACGTTTTAACATTGTTCGTCACAGAGTTGAATTAACTAAACACGACCGATGAAATGTAAATTTAATATATCTCAATAAACATTTTTGGGCTTACTTTTAATTCCGGGGGGAATATTGGTTCTTGAGTCGTATCGACTGGCACAAAGTCGCATGGTTCAGCGGCATCAAGAAAATGCTCTTCGTTACTTGTCTGGTTTTTGCAACATTTGGTTCCCATACAGCAGGGTTCGTCTTTGCTGAAAGTCTTGAATCCTTCAAGGATAGGTCTGTAGCCAGTGCATCTGCAAAGGTTTCCTAAAAGGATCGACATTTTAAAACCGTAGCTTAATGTTCAGTTACATATTCATGGCGAAAGCGAAGGCATGACCAAGAACTGTGTGACTAAATGGCATGGATATTCCAATGAGCTGGTCCATAAGTACACATATATCTCAAGAGTCACTTATCAAGAGAAAGAAGAGAAAGTACCTGTATAATATGCATCTTCAATAACAACTTCAATGCTAACATGTATACAAAACGTATCCACACGCTTTGCGTACAATGCAATGAACATCAGATATTCAAGCTATTCCATTTTTTTTAATTTATAACTGTTGTGCACTATGTCGCGGCTGTTCAAGGATTGTAATACGTGGTTTTTATGTCTCCTCATTAACCCAAGTGAAACTATAAATAAAGGACATTCACAAATATGGTGTTCGAAATTTGACCGGTGATGGCTGCTTTTATTGAAAGGTCTCTCTAGTAAAAGAATAGTGTAAAGTTATTATATAGCATTAGATAATGTTGAGTAAATTAAAATAACGTAATGTTATTGCATAAATATTAAATATCTAAACAAATAGTGCACATATTTTCATTCGTGGGGTTGCAAAGAAACCTGATTTAATCGGTACCTTGGAATATGTTTTCCACTTCCTCTTCTGTTGGTTTTGGCTTATATCTTAGTAACGTATACATTGACATCACCATTCCTGGAGTGCAGAAACCACACTGTGTGCCGTGGGACTTGGCTATTATCTCCTAAGATGGCAAATGATATCATCATTAAAATAATGTGCATTCAGTTCAGTTTATTTCATTAAAGTCTCACCCATAAAGATAAAAAATAAAAACAATAAGAGTTAAAACAGTCATTACAACAAGGCAGTTCTATAGAGAACTATGAGAGAGTAAAAACTAATTACAGTTTAAATACATAAAATCTCTTCTTTATCCTAAGAAAAGGCTACAGGCTTTGGCAGTGCTAAAAATCATTTTCGGATCGTCAATCAGGAAAAGAAATTTGCTTTGTTCATCCAATAAATCAAAATCCGGCTTAAAGCATTTAGCAGTTCTCATTAAATCAGTACGATGATCATTAAAAAATGGACAATTTTAATTAAAATTAAGAAATGAATCTCATCCTCAACACAACCTGATTCACAGTGTACACACGTTCTCTCCAGGATTTGAAGTTTTTCATACCGTCCAGTTTCTATTCTGAGTGGGGCCACCCCACATCTCAGTTTAGCCAATGCCCGCCGATCCTTGAGCGATAAAGTTGGTTTCTTAACGTATTCACTAACTACCAAGTCTTGCTTAAACAATCTGAATAGCCTAAGCTTATTTCCACCTCCATTTCTGCGTGGGGTATCATCCCATAGTTTCGCCCACCAATCGGAATGACATTCAAAAGCTACACTCTCCCTAACACAATTCAGTATGCTAGTCTTGGGTATATCATTGTCAGTTAAGTACAGATGGCTTACTCCCAGATCACTAAATTTACCTTTAACCCTAGTTATCGAATTTTTCTTTCCATTGTTTGATACACGTAAACTCCATAAAAACACCTTTTTAGTTAACCTATTACAATCCATATTAACTAATCTACACCAAAAATTTGTCACATTAATTAACTGCTTTTCAAAAGGCGAAGTCCATCCCATTTCAGAACGGATGGCAGCGGCTGGCGCGTACCTACCCACGCCCAAAAAATACCTGCAAGCTCTACTGAAAACAGCATTAATTTGACTAAATTCCTGGATTCCCCATATAGCAGAACCATATTCTAACACAGTAGCTACAAGTGCATTGTATAATTTCGTAAAGCATGCATAGGGCATGCCCCCTTGCATTTTGCAATCAGAAGACCTAGAGCTCTGCTTGCAGACTTAGCTATACATGATACCGTCTTATTCGCACCAAAGTGCTCAAAATACCACATACCCAAGTATTTATATTTTTCAACAATATTTACTATAAAATGCCCACATTTAAAAACATAATTTGTCCTAGGTATTTTTGGTGACCTAAAATGAACTACCTAGGTCTTGTCCTCATTCAGAGTCAACTGCCATTTATAACACCACTTGTGCACTACATCAAGCATTGACTGTAAATCCCTCTCATTCTTGGCCAAAAGCACAACCTCATCTGCATAAAGGAGCGAACAAATCAGCTCATCATTTACATTAATGCCCTTACCCAGAGCTTTAAGATCATGTACCATATCATTAATATAAATGTCAAAGAGTAAAGGTGACAGCAAGCACCTCTGTTTTACTCCAGTTTCAATGTCAAAGAAACCTGTTTTATAGTTATTTACCCTAACATAGCACTTTGGGTTATCACATAGAACTTGGAGGGAATTCATAAAATTTCCGCATATTCCTAGTTTAAATAATGTATACCATAAAAGAGACCTATTAATTCTGTCGAATGCTTTTCTTGCAACGATGTAACACGCATATATGCTCTGCTTTTGCTTTAAACTATTTTCTATAAGACTAGACATTACATACATGTGATCTAAACACCCACGGTCTTGTCTAAAACCATTTTGCTCGTCAACTATTATTTCATTATCTTAGGCCCACTTCGATAATCTCCTGTTCAGAATAAATGTGTATATCTTATATAATGATAATGTTATTCCTCTATATTCTAGTGGATCGCATAAATTAACACCATTACCTTTAGGTATAGGATTAATGACGGACCTACATGTAAGCCAATCTTAAATCTTAAGGACAACAGAATTAGCAAAACAGTACTTAAATAGGTTATACAAACATTTAATAGTTGTATTGTAGCTTTCCAGAAATACATACAGCTTTACCCCGCACTGTGCTTCAAGTAAGGCAACTATCTGCAACGATGTTTTATTAAAGATCTCAGGTATAATTCCAAGATTTATTACTTGCTTATCGCATGTAACTGTTTACAGTTGCCATATGATATTTCAAAAAGCATTATATACAACTTCAATTTGACCATACCGGTACGGTTGTTTTTGAATGAAAGATGTAGCAGAGATGATTTTTTTATTATTATTCATAGTACATGTATGTCTTCTACCTTTTCACACCATACCTGAACTGGGTGTAGCCTCGTTTTCGTACTACCAATCCCCTCCACTGTAGTGACAGCGAGGCCATGGAGAGAGCATATTGGAACAATACACGCATTGGATGCATAATGACAAGTCAACAGTTAGGGAAAATAAATCTGTATAAAATCAACTTATCATAAAGGTTTCATAGGAAAGACCCATGGAAATAACAGTAACGTGTAAGGATACATTATTTCGTCCTGTTCCTGGTCGTACTTTGATATCATCACTGTGCATGCACCGCATCCTCCTTCTCCACAGCCAAGTTTTGTGCCAGGGAGACGCACTGCGACGTGGAGTTAAGGATACATAAATATTTGTAGCAAGGAAAAGAGAGATACGAGAAAGGGCACATTCCCAGTGACACGATCTAGACCGATTCAACTCTGTGGGGGTCTCTCGCTGAGTGCCGTCAGCTTAACTGAATGAGATCGTCATGGTTTCGCAAACGACGAAGTGCGATGAGTACAATTTCACGCTATGTTATAACTTTATGCGCTGATGGTTTCGTATGTTGCACGTCCAAAAGGATACGTATTTTACGCAGATACTGCAGAAGTGTCGTCTCCGGGTCGGCATTCTTTTCTATGATCTAAAAGTTATGACGTCAGATGTTCATGTTATTGAACAATTTTTCACACTGGATTTTGCGAAAAGATGTTTATTTAACGAAATCTGCCTCCTGTATTTTATCTGTTATCAAGGTAGCTCTCGTATTTAGGAGTGTGAGAAATTAATTATTTGAATTAGGTTATAGATATGTTGCTTCTTTAAGCAGTGTTACTGGTACCCTCTACCAGGGCCGTAGTTTTTATTGTGGACATTTTATGCTGACTGAGAGCCAAAATGACTGTCTATTTATCTAGAGACATATCTGTGAATATCTGTGAAAAATCAATCTGTTGCCCTGGTAAAGGGTATGTTACTGATATGTATATAACATAAATGCCTACATCACGTACGCATTGCACCCTTATGCAAAAAAAAAAAAAACGTTCTGTAGAAATTGCCATTCTGTGCAGTAGGGGAGACCGGGGCTAGTTGGACCCCGGGGTAAGTTGCCCCCGCGGCAATTTATGAAAAAGTAACTACGAGGTAAAAAAAATTGGCCACTTGCTCTTGTAAAGTGACCGTAGCCTACAATGCCAAGGAAGTGTCGGACGTTTTACTTAAGCGGTGAGTCCAAATAAACCACCCTGAGCTTCAGAGCTCACTTGACACTAACCTTTTCACTGTAGCCTATCTCCATCGTGTCAAGTAACCTCTGACGAAAATAGTTTGACTTAGTTTATATAAGCCAATCGAATCCAAGTTTCAAAATTTTTCACCAAAGTTTGGTGAAAACGCTGATTGGTTGACCGTCAATCGGCAATCCTCGGCTGATTCCGCAAGCTCCATACTNCAGGGTTACCACTTAATATGGAATATTTTTTATCATTGTTATTTTTGAGTGCTGATTAATTTTTTTTTGGCTTGAGTCATTAAAAAAGTATGTCACTGAGTGATAATAACATCCAGTCTTCTGTTGTGAGATATTTTGGTCAATAATATTAAATCTGACATAAGATGCCATTCAAAAGAAAGGAACACCCCCAGAAAACCATATCAACAGTTTGATGTCAGTATAAACTTTAAGATAAGATATTAAAGAAAATGATAGCCTCCGGACAGTGATATGTTACACAGTCAAAGAACTCACTACAGTAAATCATGAAAAGTCAGTAATTGCGGGTATGACCTCCAGCAGCCGCTTGCAGCGCCCTCATCCTACA